AATTACAACCTGAACATTAATCTATAGATTCGTGTTATAATTTATACGCGGTATATAATATGATGTTCGGAGTAATTAGCAACATTGGGCGAGGAAAACTGGTAACACAGAGGCTAGATGATTTTTTTTTTAAAACGTAAAGAAAATGAAAGGGTGGAAAAAGGTGAAAGTTAAAAACCTCCAATAGTGATTTTTCCGTACGCATGACATTGTCAACGCATTGTTGATTAATTAGAGTTATTATTCAAGATGCCTTCTGTACCTACCGCACGTATCAATCTTCAAATTGATTTGATCATGAAAGTTAATTCCTCGTCGTATAATGATAACAATGAAAAAAATGGATGACAGGTATAAAGTAAGGAGAGGTATGTAGTTAGCATAATGCTCTTCGCGCCTGTCATTACAGAAGACCGCTAACCGACGCCAGAGGTGACGGACTCTTGGAAGTTGAACATGCTTTAACATACACAAAGGTGCCAACAAACGTCAGTGAACTTCACCATCATCAGGCATGACTGGAATATTGATCGAACAAGATTCCAACAAAATCGAAGCGTGTGCCTCTCATCGATACCGAGCCCTATTTTTACCGAATTTTTGCAACATTCTCCTAAAATTATTTTCACATTCAATTCCAAGTTTCACATCAGTACAGAAAATAAAATGCATGACAATAATCATTTGCCAGTTGATGGATAGATCGAGGGATTTTTATTCAACTGTACGACGCGTGTTTCACGCCTCATTTTGTCCTTCTGGTTTTTTTTTTTTTTTTCAATTTTGTTATTCGCACACATTTTTTTGTCGATTTTGGCTTATCCGCGGTGGTGAAAAAATAAAAATGGTGAATCCTTAAATCGACTTGGCTGCTGCATAAATTAGCCTTTGCATTCTCCATCTTTTCCGACTTTTGCGCGTTACCTGTTCCACGGTAATTGCCACACAGTCCCTCTGGTATATATTCCCTCCCTCAGCCCCACATCCTCATCTCAGTTGCTCGTTAACTCCCGTAGGGCACCCGTTTCGACAGCCATCGAAACCGCGAATATGTTGCCCCTGTGCGTGTCAAAACTCTCTGTCACCTCTCAAAGTACTCGAGAAGCGCATTAACCTACCGGCAATATTCAGAAAAAAAAAAAAAAAAAATCTGCTCCATGCAAATGTTCACCACGCATTAATTAACCGCGCTAATTGCTCCGTCCATCACTGAAAGGGTTTTTCCAAGGAACCAAAAGAGTCTCTATTGAAGTCTTATTTATTCGCACGTCTGATAGACTGAATTGTCAACATTCATTAGTCATGACGCACTTCTTGTACTAACATTTCAAATGACTCAATTGTAATGCAGCACTTTCACGCCGAATCTGAAACCCGAGAAAAATCTCCCGCGCCAATACTTTGATGATAAAAACTGACAAGATTAATAATAACGAGAGTTACAAGTTTTTTTTTAGCTTTCCTGGTTTTTATGAAAATATTTTCATTTTAGGGCCGTAGCTATTGGAATCTCTAAATTATATATTATTATGCTCTCCTAAAACACACTTCAAGTATATAAAAAAGTACAAAATGGTTTATTACTCATTTCATTCGTCAGAATAAAAAATAATCAACCGAAAAACTGAAAACGAAAGAAAAACCGTCTCTTCCGTAATTATTAATTTTTTATTTTTCCTCCGAGAAAATAATCGGCAAGTAATTCCTCCTGATATTTCTAATTATTGATTATGGAAAATCGATATCGTGGGGAATCCAATCAATGGTGATGATTATACGTTTCCAGAGGGATGATGAACTTCAGAAGGCTGTAAGATTAACTATGAGGGAAAGAAGATTCATAAAATTTGCATCTGTCGAGTATGATGGCCAGCTGTACATGACCCCCCAAGATTTTCTCGACAGTGTCGTCGAGTCCGAGCCAAGACGCAAGTATCCCCCAATAATAAAAGCCTGCCATTCCTTATCAATAATCCGTAATCACAGAAATGATAGATTAATCCGTTAATGACTCATTATCTCCTCGTACTCAAAATAATCAATAATTTCTGCACTGGAAGAAAAAATTATTCCAAATAAATTTACT